TTGCTCCATCTCCCAGCTTCTGGTATCTGTGGTTCGGGGATTTCCTGATCCAGAAATACTGGAAATTTCCTGATGCACCCAGTCTTCCCTGAATTCATCAAATGACCCCATTTATTACCTTGCTCTTTACCATATCCATGGCAAGGACTTCTTATGTTAAGTTGTGCACTGTACAGAAAAGTAATTTTCTTCTGCTAATAATTCAATCCAGACACTGAAAGTCAAGCTCTGTTCTGCCTAAAACCAAACTAGATCCTTTGCCAGCTCTTCTGTTTGCATTTGGCTTGGCAACTGTAACTGACTGGAAGCTATTCCTGTAAGTATGGACAGGCTTGAATTTACCATGCTGTCTGAGTGCTGTGAGCTTAGAGAATGAACCTGGATGGAAGTGGCAGTGGACTGAGACCATCAGTGAATAGTTCTGCTGAGATGAATGAGTTTCAAATAGAAAAACCTCAGCATACTCTCCCAGCCAGTCTACGTGCTGTAGGACCAGGCAGAATACAAAGCAATTAGACATGGTTTTGGTTGCTAAAATAAGATACTTTGACACTGAACTGCTACAGGAGATAGTCTGTGAAGATTAAGTAAGATTTAGGTTTCCTTTCTAAGGCAGAACCTTAATCTCTTTATTCCTTCCCTTTAACCCCTTTTAATTCTGCATGCATTCATTTCTTTGGGCTTTTTTCAGACCAACAGGTGCTGATTTATAATCCACAAATCTACAGCTGTTCCATCCCTAAGACCTTCCAAGCTGATCTCCCAAACCTGCAGAAGCTCTGTGCAAGGTCCAGGCTGCCCTCGGTCCCCTTGCGCCACCTCTCCAAACTCCAGTCAGCTCATGGGGAAACTTTTCTCCACTTTGCCAAGTCACACTTATACACTGATGGTAAGAGAAGCTGTTGCTCTTGTCTATCATGCATTCTCATGCAAGTAATAAGTGACTGTATTCTTTACCAATTAGTATTTTCTCTGAGGGGAAAATAGTTCGACTTCAGAAAGAAATGTAACAGAAGGCAGAGAAAGGTGTCCCACCAGAATATCCTCTTAGCCCCACAAACCAGAAAGCTGTCTGGTCCCTCAAACACCTTCTTAAGGTGTTCAATAATGGGATTTTCAGAAAATTTCTTTCCTACTATTCAACAGTAACAACAAAGAATAAAAATGGGGTTTGAATCATCTGCTTTTTGTTGTTGTCGTTGTTATGGCTTTTTTTTTTTTTAAGGCTTGATTATTTTTTTTTTCCTTTTTTTCCTGCTGGTTGTTTGTAGGAGAAGGAGAAAAAGTCAAAATTAACTTATGAAAAAAAAGTCAAAATCAGGGGAGGGGACAAAATCCCTTCTGCCCCACTTTATGCATTGGAACAAGACGAGCCCCATTTAGGCAATGCTTTTAGTCCTCTCTTAAATGAAGGAACAGAAAAGCCTGATTTCCCCCACCATGTGTTATTCCACAGATATCTATGCGGCCTGGGTGGCTCAGGAACTGAAGACCGATCTGTTGGCTGAATCCTGGCAGCATTCCGGCCAAAAACTTCCCTCAAATTGCTCTCTCGACTACCATGTCTACAACATAAACCTAATAGAGACACCATTGAATTCCACCTTTTATTCCATTAATGATCATTCCAAATGGGCTGCTTCAAAGGAATACAAAGATCAGTGGACCTGCATTGGAGACTTAAACCGCGCTGCTGAGCAAGCTTGGAGAAGTGGTGGGTTCATCTGCACGCAGAACGAGCACATCTACAAAGCATTCAGACCCTTGATAAGCCAGTATGAAAGTTGCAGTGATGCTTCCACATTGATATAATGAACCATTCCTTCAAAACACCACAGCCCCTTGTTACGTGGAAAGCACAAGAAGCGTCTCCCTTAAACTATATTTTCCCTCTGAAAACTAGCCCTGCGATTCACCAGAGGTGTTAGACCTTCACCTTGTTAGCTAGCAAAGCTGCAGGGTGCACAGAAACCATGGCTGTTTTTCCCTGAGGGCTGGATCAGCAGGCTCTGCCTGTGCTGGGCCACTCTCTGCTCTCTCCTCGGCTCTCAGCCAAGGTGCTGCTGCACCGAAGCCCATCCTGTGAGCCACCTGCAGGCGTGTCCCCGGGGAAGCTTGTGACTGATGCTGGGCATGGGATGAGAGGAATGACAGAAACCTGTCTCCTTAGCTAGGTTGTCAGGGCTGGGCAATTAGCAAGAGAAAGGTGTCCCCAAAGGTTTCAAAATCACCCCACATTCCAGTTGAGATCAGTCACAGCATTTTTGCTCATTTGAGGGTGGATCTCTTAAAGAGCTGACCCAATTGGATACAGACAGGGAGACAAATAGATCTGTGGACAGGAAGGCTTCATTTTTACAGGATTAATTTTTAGAGAAGAAATGAGCTTAAATAATTTTTAACCAATGGCTTGGGAGTATTTCTAGTGCTTTTATTAATGTATAGCCATTTATAAACAAATTAACATGTCTAAAATATAAATAAGCAAAATAAATTAAGAGCAACAATGGTCTGTTTACAGTCTTCCTCTTCCATCTTTATAGTTATTTGTGGTTGGTTACAATGTTTTACAGCTGCCAAAGGAAAAATGGAGACAATTAGGAAAAAAATTTAAAAATAATAAAATATTTGAATGAAGCTTTTACTTCACCTACATTTTCACACTACAACAAATGTGGCTGTTAATTTTCAATGCCTCCAGTCTCAGGCTTGGGACCTAAAGTTCACATGGATTTCCTATAAGGACCAAGCTGGTTTGCAAAACTGTGATACACTCCTGGGTTCCGACTTAAAAAGTGTACCTGTATTTAGTGTGTTCCTAAATATGTTTATAGGTTTCTATCTCACTTGATTATTTTTTTAATTGTTAATATAAACTCCAGTCTGAAGAGTTGGCTGTCCTGCTAATATTTGTGTTTAGCTGTGCTCATAGTCCGTAGCACTGATTCTCCAGAGCATCTAAAAAGGAAGTAAACATAACGAAATATCCCACAACCAAGATGTTGAAGATTTCCTTCCCTTTTCACCCTGAAAAGTCAACCAAAGTGTACAAAATACCAAACAAATTAATTCAGAAGAATTGTGCATACTTCTTGAAGAAATAAAAATAGTGTGTCTGGCCTGCTTAATGAGGAGAATCATCCAGGAATAGATTTTATATTTAGTCGATCTGGATTGATGCCAAACCTATTTCATAGCTCAGTGAAAATAATGTGTAGGTAATTTAGATATTCTGCACAAAACAAGACCTTTTCTTTTCTCTGCATGTGACCAAATAACACTTGATAAATAATTTGCTTCATAATGTTTTTCTCTGATGCTTGACAATTTGTTTTATATGTCTACTTTTCATAGTTTTACTAGCTGTGGTCAAGCAAGGCCTAGTTGTGGCAGTGAAAGTTGCCACTGACACAGAAGGCTCAGCAGTGGGATGGCAAGGCACCACTCAGATAAGCCAAGATTAATTAATTTATTTATCTTGTCCACCTTTTCCAGGCAGACACTAACCTAACCTCACTTGTCTGAACTTTCATATCTTGCCCATGCATGACCTCAGAACATGAAGAATTCCTTCACCGGAGACACTGCTGGTGAGGTTCACCATGATGCATCAGAGGGCAGCTGGATATGACACAACATATTTCTTATGTCAGATGCTCAGCCACAGCATTTGGGTTGCAGAGTATAGCAAAGAGCCTCCATCCACTGACTGGCACAAGAGTGTTGCTACAGTCCTTCTCCCCAGGCTAAAAGGCAACTGTCCATCAGCTGACTTTCAGTGCTGATAGTTATTGTTAATTATTTGATCAATAAATAGCTGTCCAAAAGCTTCACAAGACTACAACATTCCTCTTGCATTATATCCAAGATTGTCAGCTTCCAATTGTCAGCTGACAGTTTAGCTATTGAAGAGGCATAAACAGCAGTGGGAAGATGGAGAGAAGCAGTTGTACCATACAGTATTACAAGCCCCTAAATAGCCAGGTTGTACACACACTCATTTCCGTGGTGTAGCAATAAAAAGGCTGCGTTCTGGTTCTCTAATTTTTTGACTGTAAGCAGTTTTAATTCAGTTTTGTTTTCATTGTGTAACTTCCATATTTGCATATCCTGGTATTTCTACACACATTCTGAAAGGTGAGCAGACAGTTTCCCAAGAGACTGATAATCAACAAGATAAACCATACAGATTTGTATAGGGTTTGTAACTCTCAGGCTTCCTATGCAAAGGCAAGACCATATGCCACTTACTCAACCTCACAGCATGCACTGTGATCAATTGGTGTGAAATATATATTTTGGCATATATTATATACATATTTGTGAAGTTGCTTTTTTAAAATGTGCTGTTCTTTTTCAAAATGCCAAATGCTCAACAAATATCTGCCTGTCCCAGTGCCTTTGTGCTGCCCACTGTGACCCTTTTGACCAGACCTTCTCGTGCGGAAGGGGACATCCATCACTGCCCACTCTGCAATTCCAGCAGGACCTGCCCAGCAAACCTGGTCCTGCAGGACAGAGGAAGGTTTGGACCCTGGCATGGACAGAGGAAAGCTGGTCTCTCACCGGGAAACCTAGAGTGTCTTCTCCTCAGAGTGCAGGTATGGCTATTCTGACCCTTAGGCTCTGTTCTAGTTAGATTAAATGAGAACATTTCTTATAGATTAAATGTCTTTGCTGAGAGAGTAAGGTAGGCCAAAAGCAGACATTATTAATCCACTAAACATTACTGTGCTGCAGCCAAGTTTGTAACAAACATAACAGTAGGGATCATTGTTTGGTATAAATTGCCAGGCAATCATTTCCACAAGCTGAGACTCAGCCCCAGCATGCCTGACAAGCTCACAAGGGGCAGGAAATGCAAATACAGCCTCTAGAAATACATGCCTGCCACTCGCTCACCCAGCAGCGCATCCCCTATCCTCATCATGGCCACTGCCATCCCAGAGCAAGGGCACAACTCTGTCTCCTTATCACTGCTCAAAAAATTCCCTGATGATTTTTCCACAAACCCCTGTGTCCCTACAGATGCTTCTGTAACACTGGTAATTGTGGATTGTTAGGGCAGTGGTTTGCTGTGTTTGAAGAGTGCAATTTCACACAGACTTAATGCAAGAAGTCAAGGGATTAGACATTAGCCTCACTAGAAGAAAAGCTATAAAATAAAAGAAAATATTTTAAGGCACAAAAACTTAAACTGTGTGAAGTTTAATTCCAGCTGAGCAATTACAAGGCTAGAAAACAGGCACAGGCATTGTACAGCCTGAGCCCACCCAGAGGTCAGCCTTTATGGTGGGATTGCTGCTGGTGTCTCCACAATGACTAATAATTTACTGAGGCCACATGATTGGAGTGATGAGCACTGTATTGAAGAATTTCTTCAGGGCAGATGGGGCTCCATGGCAGCTGTTTGTCAGCAAGTCAAGGGCAGCTTTGGGAGAAATTTCTCTGACTGAGCTGCAAACCTTCCCTTCTCCAAGCATGGTAACTTAGCCTGGCACTTGGGCTTGTCACAGAGGTTCTCAGGAACCACAGCAAGATCTGCTTCAAAGTGTGCTAGATTGTGCTTCTTAAAAGTAGAGGAATCCTGCAAAGCCCAGGAGGTTTTGGTTGCTTTGCTGTCAGTAATTCCCATTTGTTCAGCTACCCTTGCAAACCACACATGCTACTCCTCTCTCAGCACACGTGTAGTTTTCAAAATAGAAAGTTTCCAGTAACTACATGTAATGTAAGCACCTGTGCCAAACAGGGCTTCCCCGTGGGAAGGGAGAGAGGTTATTTTTGCAAAGATAAAAGGGCCTCTCCTCATCCCTCTCTCCTGTTTACATATGTACACTCCTGACTCCTGACAGGAGTCAGAAACTTTCCAGAACATCATTGTGAGAATTGGTTTTAATGTATCAAAGCATCCTTGGTGTTGTTAGCATAGTCACATAATTATCTTCAGAAAAACTGACACCCATATGTTCATGCGCATAAATTATTGTGTGGATCTCTTTTATACCTTTAGTTTCAGTTTCTGGGAAAGATACACCACTGGGTGCTTAGTCTGGTAGTTGCTTCAGAATGTGTCAACTGCCTATGCCCTGGGTAAAATGTTCAGAAACATGGCAGTGCAGCTCAATATAAGCCAAAGCCTAACTGGGCTCAGAATGTGATGCAAGAATATGATGCACCTCTTTTATTTCACCAGAGATTTCTTAAAAAGACACAAATTTAAAAATAAGAATGGAGATGAATAGAAATGTATGGTAGGCAAAGCATGGAAAAAAAAACCTTGTAGCAGGCAATAAAGTCTTCATAGTTCAAGGCAGAAAGCCTGACTTGAAATTTCCATATCAGTGTTTTGTAGGTACCCTGATACCCTGGGTAGCTTAGCCACATCTGACACTTTTCTGTTTAGATTGGAGATACCAGATTAAAGGCCTAATCTGCTGAACTTCTCACAATCCTTATGAACTTGGAATAAATGCAGTAAAAGAAGCTGCGTATGATCTCAGAAATCAGTTGCAGCATTTTCAGGTCTTGGCCTTAGACAGGAGCTAGCTCATAATGTAATTCTTTAATGCTGGCCTATTGTATGCTTATCTTTATGGTTTGAAACTGATTTATCCCACTATTAAGAGTATGCTACTCTATGCATATTTGATACGTTCATTTTACTGAAACTATTAAATGCAGTATGTTAGGACTTGAAAAAATATCTATTGCTTTTTATAAACACCTGTGTTACACTTTTACTCAAGTGATTTTAGTAAATCATCTTGATTTTATTTTATTCAGTTGGGTTAGTTTGACATATCTACACAAGGTATCTGTTGACTATTCTGATTCTCCTGTAAGAGGAATAAAAGAACATTCTTCCATTCTGCTGATCTCTTTGCACCTTGGGAATGCAAACTGATACTCCAATATTTCAGGCTTTACTGGAGCAGAGAACAGTATTTAATGTTGGTTGCTAGAATACTAGTGATTTTTATAATGATTCACTGTAGTACTCTTGGACTAGCATTGCCAAATTTATTAATCATAGGAATTTCACATGCAAATTAGCTACACAGTTCTGCATCATAATACAGTAATCTGTCTTCACATGTATTAATGCCCTTGAATAAGCATGTCATGTTACAGCAGTACATGGTTTCTCCATGCCATTCCAAAACCTGTCAAAAGCTCACTAGAAGCCCAATCTTCAAGTGTCAGGTTTTTTGTTCCTTACTTTTGATTTTCTGAAGTGTGAGAGTATTTCTCTCCAAGACTTTTTTGTGTCTGTCTATTTTCAGGTTATTTTTGGGCTAAGATTCCACCAGCCAAGTCAGTACTTCTCTTGCTCTAGTGAAGTTTTTTAAATGTATTTCTGCCCTGGCGTGAGTAGGCTCAACAATACCACTGTCCACCACTTATGTTGAGGATTAAAAATGCCCATCTCAGTACACATTTCAGAAACTGTTTCCTTCCCTGCTCTGGAAGCTGCTCCAGTTTACATACTGACCTTGTAAATCCTAGACATTCCGCAAAAGAAATCCACATCTTTTCCTCTCTTGCTTTATAACTACTCCAAACATTTATTTCATAAAAGTCAAGGTGAGAATGAGGGAACTGACAGTTTTGTGTGGGATATTTTACAAGGAAAGACCATGGAAGAAATGCTGCACAGCAAATGGAGACAATTAATGCAGTTGTGTTCCCAACCACCCACCAACCTGCCCTCCTCGTTGCTGCCTGAAGACATGAAGATCCAGAGGAACAGGAGGAGCAAAGAGATCTAGCAGGAGAAATGGAAAAGAAAACTCAGAACAAGGCAACTGAAGATGAGCAGGGGAAAAAAAGCAAGGGAATAGAAGAAGGAACATTAGGATGGGTAACACCGGGGAGGTCAGAGACCTTCACTTTGGTGACAGAGAACCAGTAGGAGTTACCTATGCATAAATCCAGTTTACAGGATGTTTCATTTACTCTGATAATTACTTAACATTTATTCATTTTACAGATAGAGCCTCCATAGGATATGCCAGAGAGATAAAAGTAAGAGGCATAAACTTAAGTGACTTCGCTGAAGATTACAAATACCAACCCAACAAACCAACAGCTGGAGAAAATGTCACTACCTGTCTGTTACGAAACCTGCGAGAGGTGGGGCAAGGCAAAGTGAAAAGCATTAAATATGTAAAAGAAGGAGGGAGAAATTATAAACTAATCTAAAAAGTTTGAACCACACATATTCAGATGACACAGCAAACCATTTTTTTTAAAGAAGGAAGGTACTATTAAGGTTTAAAACCAGTAAAAAAATACAATGACAATAAGAGATTAAAAACATTCACAAGAGTAACTGCAGAATAACTGCATCATGGATTATGACACTAAAGCTGGGTGCATTCATTCTTGTGGCATTGAGAGAATGGCAGGCAAAAGGAATAAATACAAATTAAAAAAGAACATAAACAGGACATAAATAGTGATAAGAAAAATACAGCCCTTAACACTATGTTGTTGGGATTATCATTACAAGTAGCTCTACAGCATATGGCCTTTTATTCTCAGGTAAAAGTCAAGCTTAGTTCAGAAACCTTCTCAATTTTATATTTTCCTTGGTTTTATCTCTGATCCTACTTTGATCTCCAGCACTAAATAAGCTACCATGAGTCTAGTATAGTTGTTTCTTACTGCACTGAGCTGCAATCAGCAAGCATTCCTAGATAATACTTACTGTCACTTGGGTCATGATGCCCTGCTGTTTTGTCACCTCCCGGTCTTGGATCTCACAGAGGTATAATGGCAGTATAGGAGCTGTAGCCCTATAAAAAGTGTCATCTTAATATCAGAGGAGGAGCTATACATAAGGGGTTGGCTCCACAAATGTGACTATTTCATTATTTATTTAGTAACATGGCTCTTTTTTTTCCTCCAGGCAAAGGAGGAAAACCTATTCCTTTAATAAAGGAACAGGCCTACTGCAACAAAGGAAACGAGAGCAAAAATATAGAGAAGGACACATCCTAACCTCATTAATATCAGTGGGAACTGAACTGCCTTCATCTTCAGTGGGGACAGAACTTCAAAGACATAGGAATCACCTGTAAAATCTGAAGGATAAAATCTGAACCTGTTGTGGTCTATGACATAAACAGTGTTTAGAGGATGGAAGTGTAGTCCCGACATGGTGGAAATGTCCCCAGCAGGAGATTCACACCCTGGCTGGACCACAGCCTTGTCCCCATGCTGCCAGGGTGGTTGTTAGGACACATATTAGCAATGCTTGGGCAGATTCTGTGACAGAAGAACCTCTCTGCAGCAGGACCATGCAGAAGCTGGGCAGAGATGAACCTTCTCTTCTTGAACACTGTCTCTCTTCTGTTTGTGGCTTTACTTTCAGTGCCTAAGTTAGAAATCATTAATTTCAAGTTATGTTCCATGTGGTATCTGCACCACCAGTCCATTGCAGGTCATATCACGAAAAAAAACCCCAAACATTTTTAGAAAAGCCCCTTTAAAAGAATTATGTTTACCATGTGGCAACATGTCTGTCTATTATACAACAATAATTTTCAGTCCCTGGATGTAGAGAGATCTACAGACAACCCTTAAGAAAGCCATAAATATGACTTAAAAATACAAGTTCCTGAACATTTCCCATACATAAAAATTTGTAAGGAAGCCTGTGCCTGTATTGCAAAACTATAGGGAAATTTCAAAACCTACACTTTTTGCAAGTCAGACCAATATTGTATGTCAAAATATACAGTTGGGGTTTTGGGGTTGTTTGGGGGTTTTTTATTTTTAAGAGAGAGAGCACTGGTCAGAATCCTGCAGGAACAGAGAACTTAAGATTTCAATTTTTTTTTTTATTTTTTTTTTTAAATAGAACACAGTATTTTATTTAATGCTAAATACCTTTAGTTTCCAGTACACTCATTTCAACAATCAGAATGTATACAGTCAGTGTAAGAACTGACAAATGAAGCATGTGGTTTTGCTGCTTTGAAAAACACACCACAATGCTATTTGAGTTTGTAGGCTTAGTTTGGTAATCCAGCTAAACTGTCAACTAGACAGATAGAGCAATAAAGGTGAAACACAGTATTGCAGGTAAGAAACTAATATTTATTTCATGGTGCCCATCTTTTCCAGAGCTTTGTGGGATCAAGTAACACTCTTAAACATGACACTGTTCACCACAAAAGAAAATTGATTAGATTAAACCAATATGGTTTAAGTGGAATATGGACCAAGTGAAACAGAGCAGCTTCATGGCCTGTGCCACATACACCATAAGCTTGGTACCCTCCCTAAGCAAGGGAAATGTCAAGGGCTAACAGCATCTGAAGTAAGTGTAGCCTAATTTAAATGTAGCATTGTATGAGGCATGACAGTAAGATTAACTGAGTGAAAAACTAGAACAAAAAAAACCCAAAACTGGACAAATTTATAAATGCACTGTACAAGTTAAGAAGAAATTGTGCAAGGTGTTCAGGAGAGGAGAAATACGTTTCTTCTAAGAGGATGTAGGTGTGGCTAATGCACAAAAAAGATTTTTAAAATTAATAATAATAATGATAATAACAATAATAATAATCCTGTTGATGCTGTGTTCTTTTGATGTTTGAAGTAATAATTAGTCTGGCGTCACGTTTGAGTGATAACTACTACTTTCATCACACAGTTTTTCTAAGCTTGAGAGACCAGTTTTCAAAAGCTCTCTAGTAAAGCTATTATGTTACCAGTATTAATTCCACCAGAAGAAACTGGTAAAGGATGATCAGAAATACTGAGGGTGAGTCCTGGCTTTTCAGTATCTTCTCAGGATTAGGCTTCAAAATTAAAGTGAGCTTTTCTGACAGTAATCATTCATAATTGCAACTGAAAATGATGCAATTGGCAAATTCTCAACAGCCTTTGAAATTGGACCGAATACATCCAAAGGTATAAACCTTTAAATTATTTCATACACAGACACTTTTCACCAGCTTTCTCAATTATAACTCGTGTTTTTGTTCTTAAACAAAACCAAAACAACAACAAAACCAAACCAACCAAAAAACTGAATGAACAAACAAAAACCCCAAACAAAACACAAAAGTGTGCTATTTCTTTCATTGCTGATACAGTTTTGTATCTGTTACTGTTTTGCATTTTTTGTTTTGAATACTCCCAGAGGAGGCTGTCACTGCAGATGGCCAGACTCTGCCAGATGTCTGGCTTTCTGTGCAGCTCAGCCACTTCGCTCCATAGCAGGTAGTAGATGCCCCAGCTTACTTCACCTAACTCCAATTAATGTGGGTTTTTTTATTCTTCAGGTTTATTAAAAAACAACTCTTGGACTTAAATCAAAGCACTTTTAGCAGTACAGATATTTGGATTCCTGTTACTCCGGACTCCCATAGCACCGTGTCCCAGGTGGCTTAAACTGAAAAGCATCCCAGTAAGTCTTGTATATTTACATATATATCAAATCACAGTATGTGATTTTCCGAATCACAGTAGGTGGAATCTTGGGTTGGGAATACACCAGAACATCCGGTAGCATTGAAGTTTTAGGTAGTGATTGTTAAAAATTCTTGGAAATGCAAGAAGTATGTAAAGGCCAGATGGTTCAGTAAGATAACAGATTAAGTGGCATCAAAATGTGGGACAACAGAGTGAAGAGGGTTATCTCATTTTTGAAATGAGAAAAATGGAAACCATTTATTAATTCAAACATGAAGGGGACAGCACTCTTCAAAGAGTTTTGAACTGCAGTGAGCTGTGGAGTGCCTGTCTCTACCTAAGGCAGGATAATACCTAGAAATATAGCAAATAGGTGAGTGTACCAGACTGACATCTCACCTGAAACAACAAAATCACCTTATTTCATTTCTGCCAACAGGCATATGGAATGAAAGATCTTGAGCCTAAAGAAAAGCAAATCATTGTGCCCACAAAAACCTGGACTGCTTCCTCATGAGATGGTGTTAAGGACAGGCTGCTCTCCATGCAAAGCTGGCGGGGTGCCCAGAAAAAACAGCCACACAGCCAATGGATGTGGTTTGTCCTTGTCAGGATGGCAGTCTGGCAGTCTGTTCCCAGGACTACCAAGTAAATACACCTGAGTGAACAAGTGAGACCAAAATTTGAAATATCAGCCTCAGCCTGGATAAAAGCCTGGTAAACTATACGCTTAGTTGTAAAAAAAACCCTAGAATTACATGCTAAAGATCCTCAGGAGGGATCTGCATAGAGACTGCAACCATGTGAGCAGTATATTCTAGTTAAGTTTTTAAAAAGCACAACAGAACATGGTCTCAACAAATGACTTGTGTGCAGGATCTAGAGCAGTTTTCTGGGGCTCACCAGCAATTCTATCACTGCATCTCTCAGTGCTTCTGTGGCTGGCATCCTATCAACAACATCAAACCTGCAGGTTGTGTAACAAGATAATGATGCAAACCTTAGGGATGAAAGTGGAGGTGCTGGTTGGATGACAAAGTCCCACCACCCACATACAGTAAAAAATAATTGAGATTAGGTGAGGCTGTAGTCAAACATGAAACATTAAACATACTGTTTATTAAAAATCACAGAACCAATTAAACTGAATTTATAGAAACTATTTATTAAACAGATTAGAATGCCTGAAGTGACCTGTGTGATCTTCTAGTCTGACTTCCTGGGTAATGGAGAGCAGATTTCCCTGAACTAGTTCCTGTCTGAAGTAGATTGTATCTTTTTAAGGGAGAAACATCACATCTTGATATAAATATCAACAGGAAAATTACTGTAATTCTTGGTAACCCTCTCAATGGTTAATTATGGGTAACTCTAAATTGAGATTGTAAGTTGAGGATCTTTGGCTGCTATGGCTAAGCCGTGTATTTTTAAATGAATATTTACTATATAGGAAGGTACAGAAAGGACCCACATTAACTTTCTCATTGATAAGCTAAATAGGTGCAACTCCTCGAGCCCTACATTAGAAGGAGAGTATCCTAATCCTTTAATCATGCCTCAGGTCTGTTCTATAAAACCCCTCTACTTTTTCATCACTCTTTTTGAACTTAGGACATGTACAATATTCCAGCTTGCCTTACGTCAGTAGCAGCTGCAGAGGATCCTCTCTGTTCTTCCTCAATATTTACTTGCTTGGGCAATGAAGA